GTATTAGTAGTCACTAAATTGATTGACGACAATTTTCTATTCGACTCTACTTTCAACTTTCTTCTCCTGTTCTTCATCCAAATGGGCAGCCAAAAGACAACCGACGCATGAAAGTGCATGGTTAAGGGTTGTACAAGCCTAACTGAACTGAACTGAATTGGCTTAGGAAACCTGAATGCTGGTCTTTGTGATCACATTTCTGTTGTTGCTGTCTCCTAATCCACATTTGAAATTCTTCTCTAAAGGGAACCGAGAACAAAACACTGTGATGGACTTGGTCGATGATTGTGTTGAATCAAATATGGAAAGCCAGCATTTGAAGGTTTTCGGGAGAACACTCAGTCGCAGAATTTGCACAAGGACGAGAATACAATCGATGCAAATTCATCGAACCAGATCGAGTAATTTGTAGCAGAATGCTGTGTAGTTATTCCCAGTTTGTATCACGGGTATATCTGCCATTGTTTTGGAAATGTGGGAACCAGATTCACCTTACATAAATTTGCTCGTTCACTGTTGAATTCCCATCCCAACTCAGTTACCTGCTTATCATGGTTCAGCTGTTAGAAAGAGGAAGTTTGTTCCCAAAAATGGGAGTGAAGAAACACTTCAAGCCCGTCCCCTGTGTATTCTCCCCACCGATAATGGTTGCAGTCGTGTTACGCTTTGGGCTTCCGACCCACTTTTGATGCTCTGACCGAAGCGTATTTGTTGACTATACGTACTTCCAATAACCCAGATTTGTCAAAAGCTCTCGACTTATCGTACTGTCTTTGTATCCCATAATTCTGATGTCATAGCTCACTTACATTTGAATACTCCAGTGCATTCAATCTTCTGTAACGGACATTCATAAGATGTTGAATTTTTGCATTTCGCTGCAGTCCGATCGACGTGCTCTTGAGCGAGGTGCCGAGGTAATTCGTTGCCTTTGTGGATTTCGTGTTGAAGGTGGTCATGTAATGGTTCAATGTGACCACTGTGCCGCTTGGCAACATCTACCTTGCCTATGGTGGGCTTTAAACCAAGCCATTGCTCGCCGCGCGCTCACACCCACAATTCGGTCGCTCTGTGAGGCTGCGTTGGCTGCTGCCCAAGCAGCTGGTTCAGGTTACTTGAGCGAACTTGTTGGCTCCGGTACGACAGGGGCATCTCAGACTGTCACAACAAATGCACCTGTCGTCTTTGGAAAATGTGATGGTACTGAGCCACCTTACTTTTGCCCAGTTTGCTTGGATATTCATGAGCTGACTCTGGTAAGTTTTACCACTGATCGTTTTCAGTAATCGCTGCTTCTTTTATTATAAACTTGTCTCGTTCAAGTAGTCGGATTAGATTAGAAAACTACAAATCTATCAGGAACAAACTGTTGTTGTTCAGCGAGATCTATACGAAGTACACAATTCTCAACCTATGATAAAATGACTTCAGTTGTTGCTAGTTTAAATAATTAAAGACTTCGCTCCAAGACGACGCCAGTAATTTTCAACCTGAATTTGATTCTACCTTCTCCAGCGCTATCCCAGACCTGGTAACAGATTTTTTAATTACAGATAAAGTGATTTACAACAAAAGAGGTAAACTCATAATCACTGATATACTGTAAGGGGAGGTATGTGGGGAGGAGGAGGGGGGAATTCAAGTAAGAAACAATTTGTTAATCCTGCTTTTGAAAAGGGTAAGAGCTGGGGAACACGGAAATGGGGCGGGTGTTCCACAATTTCGCAGTCCTCTTGAAAAAAGAAGATTGCAAGATAGAAGTTCAACATCTGGGGACAGAAACCTGATAAGGGTGACTGATCGCCTGAGAACGAGATGGACGAGTGAACGTCAATGGAAGAGGAACCGCTGAAGCGAGTTCGGAAGAGCAGAAATCAAAAGAATAATGATAGGAAAGCTACTGCAAGGTGGAAGTTGAAGACGGATCGTCGATCAGTCGGATGGCTTTACGTTGAACACGGTCGAGGAGAAAAAGAGCGGAGTACAAAGCTCCAACCCACACGTGACTGCAGTATTCAAGCATCGGGCGGATTTGAGCTTTGTATAAAAGAAGGTGCTTTGGTGTAAAGAACCGCCTTGCGCGTAATAGAAAACCAACTTTGCGCGCAGCACGAGAGGCAAGTATAGAGATAAAAGGGAAGAGGAGAATTTATGGACAAACCCAGGAGGAAGAGAGAATTTGTGGAACGAAGGGGCAGAGAATCAAAACTCAATTGAGGAGAAAAAGAGACATGCTCAAGGGAGACTGAGAAAAGATAAGTTTTCGAAACGTCGAAGCACACATGGTTGGTAGAACCTCGTGGAGATTAGTCCGAGATCGGAGGCAAGAGAAGCATTAGTGACAATACGATCGTGATCTATGTTGGTATTAGCTTGACGGATCGTGGGGTAAGAAAGATACCAATGGAGAATAGCATCATCGGCAAAGCAGTGGATATGATTAGATGTTTGGGATAAAAGATCGTTGATAAATAAGAGAGAGTGGGCGAAAGTATGGACCCTTGGATAACGCTGGCGTTTACAGGAAATGGCCGAGATAGAACCCTATCTACTCGGACGGAGATGGTTCGCTCGTTGAGGAAACAACGAAGCCACAATACCAGAGACCGATTGAATCCAAACGTGGGTAATTTCGACAGCAGACCTTCATGCCAAACGCGGTCGAAGACCTTTGAAATGTCGAGCGAGACCATGCGAGTTTCTTCGTGATTATCGAATGCAGCCGACCAGGAATGTGATGAAAGCGCCAGTAAGTCACTCGTAGATCGACGAGAGCGAAATCCATACTGACGGTCATTTAACAAACCTTTGCGTTCGAGAAACGTACGCAGTTAGCCGGAGATGATAGTTTCAAACACTTTCGAAATTACAGATGTAAAAGCAATAGAACGATAGTTGTAGGGGTCGAAAGGAACGCCGCGCTTTGGGATTGGAAAATAATGGCATTTTTCTATGGAGCAGGGAAAGATTTGGATTCGAGTGAAAAACAGAGAAAGCGGCCTAGAACAGGGGCTAACTACGGGGCACACATTCTTAGGACGACGGGTGGAATACCGTCCGGACCGATCAGATTGATTCGATACCCGTCCGTTTCCTTCGTAAGTTTTTGTTCTTCGTGTTGGTATTTTCTATACACCGAAACCCTCAGTGCATTTGCGTTTGTAATGATTGCAGTTTTTTTCCGCATGTTCTATACGTTCGTTGGAAATATTGGACCACGATTATTGGGACTTATTCACAGTGAACGTTTTCCTTTTATATAACAGGAGTATCCCCGTTCTTTGTCTGCCGCTATGGCGATGGACGATTTGTCATCTGTATTCAGTTTACAAGAGACCATTGTGGAAGGAGAGCACGAATTTTGGTCTCTTGCCAGCCCGGATGGCAATCACCAAATACGCACAGACGATTACGCGTTCATCAACCGCACCTGGTTACAATTCTGTCAGTCACCAACATCTTTAACCGCCACAAAGAGAGCAGATACAAAACAGGCCGAACAGGGCAATGCTGCTTCAGAAGCGAGTCCAATTTGTTGTGCTTATGATCGTTTGGTGATCAGAATATACCGTCTCTGGAAAGATCCCAGGTAAGGCGCTCATTAATTCGCTACTGTCATTGCCAGTCAGTTTCCTATAAACCTGGTTGTGTTTTCTTCTGTTTCCTGTGTTTATGTGGGGTTGGATTAACTCCAATGTGTGCAGCAAACTCTCCATAAACAATGAAAAGAATAGTGTAGAGGTTGTGTAATCTAGTTTCCCGCAGTCTCAATGCCTCAGTGAATCCGTGTGAGGTTGGTTTGGTTGAACTATGAGGTGCATCGACATCTCATTCGTTCTTCATTGAGCGTCCCGTGTTTTCTATGATAGTTAAAAAGCAAACGGCTCATTAGTGGTGAAATTGATAACAGTTTTTTTTCAATATCCGGAGCTAACCATTTGATTAAGCTTAGCTTTCAGAACACAAGTCCGAAGGCGAAAAATTGTTTTTGAATGATTCACAATCGTGTCTGTACAGATCATATACGGGTTTGTTGTTAGTGGGGACACATTTTCACGCTGAGTCGAAAGGTCATTTAGGCTTGGGAGAGGTGGGGTAAGCCCTGTGTCTGGGTTCCAATCACAATCAGTCTCACCCGGATCCTGTGTTTTCTGTCCATTGCATGTGTTGCACTCAACCACCAAGTCAATTTTGCCGTTCGGTTATCTGCTTACTTTGCTAACCTGTGGCGTATATTTGTGATTTGCAGTCTGGGTTTGCCGTGAAAGCATAACTGTATATGGGGCTTTTTCGTTTGTCATATTTCATTTGCATTTTTCTTTCAAATTTCTAGCGGTACACGCTTTTATCTCGCCATCGGTTGGGCCGGAATCAAGTCTCAGTGTTTCTATTCGTTCTTTTTATTACTAAATTTAGAGGTGAACCATGGCTCGAAGGAGGTTTGTTTCTTCGGCCTTATGATGTGGTACAAATAGAGGATTCCTCCTCGGATAAGAACTTTGCACAATGCAGACTGTGGCACCACCGAGAAGTGATCTATGATGAAGCAAGTCGACTGGTGCTCCCACTCACAGCTTGGCATGGACGTTGCGTCGTTCTTTGTCCCTCGGCGTATCGTACCGGCCGACCCGCTGATTTGTTGTCTGCTGACGAAGCAATACGTTTTCTCGCTTCAGACGCGATGAACGTAAAGAGCTCGTTACCTGGAGAGACGGGTTCAGACCCATCGTGTACACTTGAACAAGTGTTTTTTGTATGTGATAAACTATTCGAGCGTACTCCTGGCTCTGGTGCAGTCGGGTATCGTTTTGATGAAATCTCTCCCGGTTACTTGAAGGTGAATATGAGAGTAAGTTCTCGTTAGCATTTATCACTATGCGGTGAAATGAGCAATAATTTACGAGTCTGATATTTTGTAGTAGTCGATTTTTACTGCTCTCCGCCTGATTGATCAAATTATTATTTTGTAATTCACGTGTGTGTGCAATTGTTATTTTGGCACGAAGAAATGTACAGACCGATCAAGTTGAGCAGGTGTCTCACAGGTTGGAGTGCCAAAATCTCTGTAACTGGTTAGCCAGAGACACAGAATGATATGACAACTAACCGACAGCAGTGGCGTTCCTGTAGTCATTTATTATCAGGTTGGAGTGTTTTCAAAAGGTATGTAGGCGCAGTTAAGTTGTACACTCCGTTTGTTGACCATAGAGAATTACTTTTTTACCTCCCATCATTCGGTCAAAATCCTATACATGTACTTTCTCACTTGCTTCGTGTACGGTGTGAGTTTGGCAGCGATCGGCGGATTAACTTCACTGTCACTCACTGTACGGTGATGATAATGTTCTTCTTAGCTGTTGTTTTCAAACCATAAATGTGGTCATTTTTACACAGCCATACGTAAGACCAATGGGGATATGATAAAACTTCTCCAGAGATAATCGTATCACGAATGTTTGTTGACCAAGTGCACCCTAAGGAAATTATAAGGCGATGAGTAGGTCGATGAGATATATTTTTTCATATTGGGATCCCCGGTATTACCGTCACTCCGTCCGAGCATTTTTAATTTAATAAATGCAGCGATATATATATATAT